AGCTTAAAACCAGTCTGCATTTTAATTGAAGAGCTTGGTTTTAAGAGTAGACTCTGGTACTCATATCATTTTGTTATGTAACAGGGACCACAAACATTCAAATTCGAACAGAATACCTAAGCTGTTAAGTGCATGTGCGAGGAAAATTATGCACAGATAAGGCGGCAGTAATAGCCTTATCGATGAGAAATGCCGTAGGGTTGCCCCACAACATTAAGGTTGAACAAGGTCACTGACCTTAAATGAACACCAGTGACCGCTCACTTAGAACAAGCAATCAGGCTCAAGACGGTTGCGTGAGAAAGTCCAGGCCGAGCACTTTGGACGCCGCTTTTGAGTTTAACCTCATTTGACCAGAATGTCATGACCTATGGACCTCAAATCTTGACTAAAGGGGGCTCACGTGCAGACCAATCGACCCTATGAGTTTAATGCCTTTAACCCCCTTATTATTTCAGATCCCATGGTTGTCAAATTGACCCTCCCCCGCTCGTGCCAAAAGTTCTCATCCGACCCACCCGGGAGGGTGTCAGATGAGCAAGATCATACCTTCAGCGAGTGATTATCGTAAAAAAATACCGCTCTAGGTTTGACTCCACACGCGATCGCTTGCCTAGCACATAAAGTAATAGACTGCCAAGGTCTTGACGAACAAGTAAGAAATTACGAAATAAATAGGCAAATGAACATCCATCAATAGGAAGTAAAGAGAGTCGTCAAACAAATAGGTTCCGCCACCAGAGCACGCCGTCACAGTGCCAGTCGACAGCTCTCAGCCATTCCCAGCAGGCACGCACGGTTCCGCCCTCCCTAGGCAAGTAAAGCCATTTTTAAAGCGCCGTCATTTTTAGTCTCGACAAGGACAGGCCGGCAGCCAGCATTCATTAGTACACCACCAGAGGCTTCTTTCAGACAAAAGGGAGCCGCCTGCTGATCTCATTGTTTCGGTGTCGTTCGATAGGCCTGAGTCAGTGCTTTCCTCGTGCAATATCCTATCCTCTGCTCGCTAACATCGGCAGCAGGCGCCGAGAGGACGTCAGCATTCCATGGTTTGCCGTGATGGACTCATATCAAATAGGCGTCGGCGGCCGCGGCTTCTTGCTGTGTCCGGTTCAAACCTCCGAATGGTTGCCCGTTCCGGTGCAGTTCCAGTGTTCGGATGTCGCTCGGCAGTCCTGCATGCTATCAATTATATATATATATATATATATATATATATATATATATATATATATATATATATAACGAAACTATGACAGCGTTAGAGAGAGAGAGAGAGAGAGAGAGAGAGAGAGAGAGAGAGAGAGAGATATATATATATATATATATATATATATATATATATATATATATCTCTCTCTCTCTCTCTCTCTCTCTCTATCTCTCTCTCTCTCTCTCTCCTCTCTCTCCTCTCTCTCTCTCTCTCTCTCTCTCTCTCTCTCTCTCTCTCTCTCTCTCTCTCTCTCTCTCTCTCTCTCTCTCTCTCTCTCTCTCTCTCTCTCTCTCTCTCTCTCTCTCTCTCTCTAACGCTGTCATAGTTTCGTTTGCACGCGCTGGGCTCAAGCACGCTTTCAGTGATGCCAGGAGCTTACATCAAACAAGCAGGTGCCCCCAGACCAGCACGACCAGCACAGCACAACCAGCGGCATAACAAAGTCCACAAATGTATAGGCTTTTGAACTGAGACAGCTCTTTTAGAGATCATTCGATGCAATTCACAGCCATACCCTTAGGCGTTCAAACACTGCTGTTTCTTAGCTTGACACACGCAAACTCGTGCAGACGATTTCGTGCAACATGTTTGAAAGCCACCCAGACATACATGACTTTGAAGACACGAAACACACGCGAATAACGCAAATACCGCCTCATCAATGGCCATGTAGTGTTCAAGGTCAAGAAAAATATGATCATCCATTTATTCGTGTTTGGCGTACATCAGCACGAATCTCCGCGTCCACGGACAGCAGAGAGCATACTGGTATGCTTTTTAAGGCGAAATGCTACGCTGGACAATACAATTTCATTGCCAAGTAAATGCACTTCTCAATACGTTATCGCTTGATTATGTTATGAAACGTTTTTATAACGTCAGAGTAACTACCAGACTGCCCTGCTAGAATTACCACTGCAGTGAACAGGCTGACCCACTTGTATTTCAATTTACCGAGATGTGGTTTATTAACTAGTCCATGTTTGATGAGCCCGAGTACCACTGTGTGCGCTTGTTTTGGAGCCCATTCTTGTGTATTTGTTCGTGTTTTTATATCATTAATCGCATTTACATACTCCGTTACGGTACCATTCTTAAGTTATTCGGCTCCCAGTCTAATGCCCGGCACAACTGATAGGACTGCTCGATTGCCTGCATTACGCATGGCAAAACGCGGTTCGTGATTGAAACCTGCATTTAACGCGCTAAGCTGGTTGGAAGCCAACTGCTGTCCGTTGATGTCGTGATTTGTATTGGTGTTCTCCGGACATGAGTAAGTCAAAAGAAGTGTTTTCTTGACCTTGGGCATAGTATGGGAATTGGGAAATCGGAATTCGTCTGACGTCGCTATGTTGCTATAGTCTCTGCGTGATTTCAAAATAGACGCGCGCGAAATAGTCTGCGCAAGTTAGCGTCTGAGTGACTCGGAAACATATGAGAATCTGAGAACCTCTAAGGGGTATGACTCTTCAACTGCAGGAAAGGATCCTCTAAATGGCTATCTGAGTTCTAAACCCCACGCAGATGTGGAACAGTCCCCTCAGCAAAGTTGCGCGCGGCGGAGTTCTGAGCCGTGCGTGTTTGAAAACATTAGCTCAGGGCTATCAAACCAAGCCAGGATACGGAGACTGGGCCGGTAGTGTCTAGGTGCCTTGTTCTGATCACGTAACACCGCTTTGCTTGATACGAGTAGCTGGTTGGCACATGTCGGGACGAAAATGCGGTAATTTTTATAAAAAGTACACACACCACACACACACACATATATATATATATATATATATATATATATATATATATATATGTGTGTGTGTGCGTGTGTGTGTGTGTGTGTGTGTGTGTGTGTGTGTTGTGTGTGTGTGTGTGTGTGTGTGTGTGTGTGTGTGTGTGTGTGTGTGTGTGTGTGTGTGTAATTACACGCGGAGAGCGGGATCATGCACAGTTGATGACAATGGCTGAGGGCTTAACGGCTGACGCCATAACATCTTCCTCGACAAGAGTTACCTGTTTGGGTGATATAACCCCAGACAGTGTAATACTGTATGCAGGTGACTACATGGAGCATGGAGACAAAAGTACGTCTGAGCCTAAGACAAAAGTGTACTCAAGGACAAATTATGGGGCTGCACGCGTTTGAAAGCACTCGCCTAGGGCTGTTGGGCCGCACAGACATCTATATCAGCCGCCGGCACCTATATATTTTAATATGACCCGCTTGTATCACCGAGTGTCACATCACAGAGGCCAGCCGGCGCGTGACGCGACGAGAGTACTGCAACGTTCTAAAAGAAGTTGTCTCGCGTGTGGCTTCCTGCATGCAAATCACCGATATTTCGATCGACCAGGTGGTTGATAAGCGCGCTAGGGTGTGCTGGTGGGAGACGGCGGGCGGGTGTTTTGCCTGATGATCAGCTGGTCAGATTCGTCGCTCCCCAGCATTGATCTGCTCTTACGACGCAGACAAGACAATTTCCTTCAGTTTTACGTAATCGTGTATTGCGTTCAGTCCCTTAATATGACCTAGCACACCATGTTTCATATACAAAGTGCCAGAACATCAAAGCACGCAGTCAAATACGATGTCGCTCACTCTGGCAGGTCAGCCGCGCCCACTCCGCCCTGCTCTCGGCACGCACCGGTGCACGCCGCACTCCTCGGTGACGACGCAGGTCCGGTTCCATACAGCGGCAGTCCAGGAACCGCCGCGGCCCGGCGCGAGCGCCGTGCTGGCGCGGGGCGGCTGTCGAGGGGCGCCGGGGTGTCCCGCGCTGTCAGGTCCGCCCCGAATGTAACCCGATCACGCCGACCGTCGGGGGCGTGCCGGAGTGCGGCACATGGCTCAGTGGTACGCAGTTCGTGTGATTCAACGCGTTCATGCCTATCACAGTTGCATGAGGAGCCGCGTGTGCGTGTAACGGCCGCTCAGGCGCAGAGAACGCTTGACAGAAAGCGTTGGCAGTGAAATCTCCTGGCCTGCGTCACAACATTAAACCCGTTCAGAACCGCAGCGCACATCCAGTCAGGGTCTCAAAGCGCCCACGTGGGATGGCGCGGCCAGCATAACACCACGTATTGCAGGCAGTCACACAGGCAACGCGACCCGTCGGCCCGCCGTGTCCGATTTCGAATGCCACCGGTCCCGTGTGACTCATCACGTGGCAGGACATGAGCCGACAGAACTGAGCCCGGCTTCGTGCTGACCGGAGACACCGGTGTTGCCGCCGAGCTGGGGCGCGAGCGGTCCTTTTTAATTCATGTCTTACTGCATGTCTCTGCATCGCGCTAAAAAGTAAAGGGTAGTCGCCCCAGCCATCCTCCAATTTGCGAACGTATGTTATCTGGTCCGCAGTCCGTTGCGTTCGACATCTACACAGCCGACACGCTCCCGTCCTCACCATGGCAACGAGCAGGATGTAGTCAGGGCGCAAAAGCATCACTTGCTTTTGACCGCAACCCAATTTCGGTGCTGTCGCGCCCACCAACGCAACGGTGGAGCACGACCCCTCGCTCCCGAAGCACGTGTCCAAGTTCGGAGCCTGTCAGCACGCGTTAATTTTACATTTCAGCACATCACATTTTGAGTTTTCGTTTGCCTTTCGTATCCTCACACGCGCATTCTCACATGACGCCTGACGTGACGCGTGACGCATCGTGACTGGTCGCTGGTTTGCGGTTTCACATCAAGCCGTACCCGCCCGCGCAGCTGGGCCACGGCGTGGCGTGGCGTGGCGTGGCGTGGCGCACCAGCGGCAGCATCGGCAGCTGCAGCATAGGTCAGCGGGCGCGGTCACAGTTCCTGCGCTGAGCGGGAGCTGCCGGCGGCAGCCGCGCCCCCTTTCTGCTGCAAGGGCGGGTCCGTCTGCGCCCAGGCGGCGACCACGAACGTCTCGATGTCGGCTTCGTTAGTGCCGCGTCGGATGCGGAACAGGCCCTGCTCGCCCCAGCTGCTGCCCCACGAGTTGGCCACCAGCTGAGAACAGGTCGGTCCAGACGTGGGAGACACGCCACGGCAGCCCTGCTCCCTTCCTCACTCGAAGGCGTCGAGGGAATCAGGGAAGATGTCAGTTGACTGTGAGCGCACGGCCCTACAGTAAGAGAGGTCTGACCGTAAGTTCGACAAGTCATCCAGAATGCAGCTTAAAATGCGGCGCAGCCCACCAGTAAAAAACAATGTGGCGTCGGCAGCTCACCTACTCTCTGGCCGCGACCAAGCACTAGAAGACACAGAGGGCCCGACATAGGCGTCCCAAGACCAGTCAGCACTGAGATGCGGCGCTCTGTGATGTCAGAACTGTCTCCTGAGGCGGGAGGAACCGATCACACTGCCTGCCGGCCAGCAGCGCGGCTGAGGCGCAGTCGGGACATCCCCCGCCTGGCTGGGTCGGGTCGCCCGAGGTGTGACGCTCCGGCCGACGGCGGGTCAACAGGACGCGGCGCCGGGGACTGACGCCCGAGTCTGCTGAGGTCGCGCCACCGCCGCCGGCCGCCGCCGGAAGCCAGGACACGGGATCCGGACGGCAGGCCGGTCAGTCCGGCACTGGCCCGACGTCACCCGAGCTTGGAATGCCGGCTGGCCTGGCCGAGTCAGGCGCCGGCCGACGCTCACCCCGCTGCCGCCGCGCCGGCCAGCTCGCTTCTGTATCCAAAACCGGAGAGCGGCGACGGGGGACGGGGGAGGGGCTATTACTCGCGGTGTTCGAGTGCACAGCAGTCCTGTTGAGCAACGCCGCTCACTGTAGCGGTGAGCTGTTCTCATCGTTGTACCCACAAAGCTTCCGTCATTACTGGATCCGCCAGAGGACGATCCGCTTAAACGAAGACGCGGAGATGAGTCTCACCCAGAATGGAACCGTGTCGCCGGCTGGGCCGCGCTGCTCGCCCCATCCGAGAATGCGGACCGAGTGGTAAGCCGCCTCATCGGTCGGCTCCGGGCTGGTGCTGTACACACCCGACTTGTACAGGAACAGGTCCGGCTGCACGCGAAGGATGGCTGCCAAACATGGCACCGCGAGCTTAGCGACCGGCCGTGGACGTCAAACAAGCGGGGCCTGCGGGCTGGGACGCCAACATACTCAGAGTGAAGGGTAGCCAGACGGTGTCCTGTCGAGTTAGCCAGGAGAGTGAGTCCAGAAAAGGCAGATCCGGGTATTTTTGTTTCATGGTGAAAAGATCACTCAACCTTAAGAATGTGTACACTTCTATAGCTTGCGGCGGCAGGTGACTGGGAAACAGCACCATGACAAACGCGATGATAGTTGACAAAACTATACGGGAACATGCACGATAAGAGCGAACGAGTCATTTAGCCACATTATTGACGGACTTCGAATATCATCGGACCTGCCTGCTCATGGAAGGTACCTACAATCATCTGGATCCACGTCCTTTGTATGGAACCAAGCCCGAAGCACGACACTGTCCAATCGGCGTCTTCCCAGCCGGGGGGGGGGGGGGGGGGGGGGGGGCTGCCCAACTGGCGCGGCACCTGCTCCTGGCCACAGTGACCGAGGGCCACGGACGGTGACGACGACCGACAGCACAATGGCCGGTCAATCCGGCGCAGGGAATTGGAACAGTTCGTCCTCCCGGTGCCGCCGAGCCAGTCACGTCTCCCGGCAGCCTGGGCCGGTCGGAGCCGCGCACGGGGCCGAACAGCGCCGGCCGGCAGCCGAACCCACCCTGGACCGGCCCGTTGGTGAAGATTTCGTGTCGGATGTCGGCCTCGTCGCTGGCGATGCGGTACGTGGGCTGGGTGCCGTGCAGCTGCTGGTCGCTGACGCGGCTGCCGTCCTGGCACAGCCGGCCGCCGCCGGCCGGCGCCAGGCAGAGGCCCGGCGCGCCATCCGCGCCCGACCGGTATGGGTAGCACGCGCTGGAGCTCACCCTGCGGCAGCCGCACGGACACGCCGTCAGCGCGGCGCGGCGTACAGGTCGCCCGAACGCGGCCTGTAGCCGGGACAGGCCAGGTGGATGGTTAGAGCTGCTGGGGGAACCATTTCGTTCTGTTCGTTCCAAACAGTCTATAGAGAACCGGTCACGGATGCTGAATTATGTATGCATAGACTGCTTGCTGCTGGCAGCTTGGCCCTTCCTGACAATTCTGATCAAGCTGACAGTTTCTGTGCAAGTTTAGTTACTGGCTAAGTAAGTAACTGAACTAAGCACATCAATTTACTTAGACAGAAAATGATATGGCTAAGAAGCACAACTACCTCCACAAGTAAAAATTGCATTCCACCTTACGTATAAATCCAATCGAGATACATAGAAAACACAACACCTGTTTGAAGGGGACATAGCGTTTGTGACACCGAAATCCCACGCAGGAATTAACGTTGTTTACTATCAAAAGGGCATGCATGAGGAGCCCGCGCCCTACCGAGGAACAGAAGAGGCCTGGAGAGAAGGCCTGAGGCAGAAGACATGCGGATACACTCACTTGTTCTTTTAGTAACATAAGGATATGTACATGGTGTGGCGATCTTGCAGCAGAGATTACATGTAGTTGATTTAAATTAATGCAGTTTTATTTATAAGCACTTGCATGCATGGCACCTGATAGGTTGTTCAACGAGGCAGTTTCTGTTAAAATGATGGACGAAATCTGGCACAGCAGCACCGGCCTCTAGCTGAACTGATTCCGTACACATTTAAAGCATGCATGTTTTAGGACGCCGGACTGCGCGTAATAAAACATATAAACATAGAAAAGTTAACTTTCATGTCTTTGCTATGGTCTACTTCAATGCTAAACGGAATCTTCGTACCATTTTTTTGGTTAAGTAAATGACGAGAACATGTCAGGACGCAAAACACCGAGCAAACTTGACATGTCTCTGTTACGGAGAGCGGATGATCCATATTGCGTTCTCGAGTCATCCGGCACTGCTTAACCTCTAGAGATAGTACAAACAACGCAAGTCAATCGGAACCAAGTTACGGCACTGTTATTGTGCTGTTACTGCAGTCCTCCTCTACAGATAGTCCGCAAGGTGCACCGTAACCCAACTCGTGTCAGACAATGGAAGTGGGAGAAGAAGCACTCCGTGGACTTCTCCCAACGTTACGTCCTTGTTCAACGTCGGCTCCCAACCTGCGCGGTGAACTTCTATGAGTCTCACAAGAAATTGGCCTGCTTCATAATCGTATATAGTGTCTCACAAGAAATTGGCCAGCTTTATAGTCGTAGATAGTGGCTCACAAGATATTGGCCAGCTTCATAGCCGTATACAGCGTCTCACAAGAAATTGGCCAGCTTCGTAGCCGTATATAGTGTCTCACAAGAAATTGGCCGGCTTTATAGTCGTATAAAGTTTTAGAAAGAGCACGGCGTCCAGCGCGTTGCTGAGCGAAGGTATTTTTTAAGGTCTGCAGGTTGGGTGAGCAGTTGGATACTGCCATCATTTAGTGTCAGGGTTCATCAAGAAACAAAACGAACGTCATCATGGGCTTCGCAAGAGAACAAAAATTCTAGAGACGATAATTTTCAAATTCATTCCAAGATGTTGCAAAACGTTGCAACCATGAATAGCGACGAAGTGAGAACCTAGGGGTCCTCTGATTGCGACGGGTCTTCTCAGAAAGACTAAAATCCTTCCATGATCAAATCTGATGATCGTCGCAAACATTCAGGATGTTGCAATACCGTTACGTGGCTCAATAAAGCACCGTTGAGCTCATGGGCAACCTACGTTGGTCTCACAAGCTTAGCCCCAAAATATCATTTCGATACTTTTTTTGCAAAACATCCCTCCAAAAAGACGTTGCCAACAAACACCAGTGTTCCCTGTTACAACGCTACAGAGGCCCCACTTGAGCCGACACGGGCCGGCTCCCATGCAGGAGGCTCGGCCCAACACTGACCAGCTCCCATGCAGGAGGCTCGGCCCGACACCGACCGGCTCCCATGCAGGAGGCTCGGGCTGACACCCACCGTTTCTCCCTGAGGTAGTTCCAGGCGACATCGAGGGCGCCGCCGCGGCAGCCGCGGCCGGTCTCCGGTGCGCAGTCGATGATGTTCTGGGCGCTGAGGTCAATTCGACCCAGGCCGGCCTGGATCGAGATGCGGTCGGCGGCCGCCGAGGCGGTCACCACAGCCCAGGAGGCGCCGCACCAGCCCTGGTCCACCACCGGGCCGATCAGGCCCGCCCAGGCCGGCCTCTGCCGCGCATCAAACTCCGCCGGCAGCGAGGCCCGGTTGAAGACCTTCACTATTGGGTACGTCCGGTTCACCTGTGCAGCCGGACGCGAGTGAGTCTGCGGTAGGCGAAGCATGCCGGCCGCACTCGAGTGTGGTGAGAGCAGATATGTGGGAAGAGTCGATGGAATAGGTCAGTCTGTCAGCTTTAGAGCAAAATCGATGTCAGCTTTTTGATTCGGCTGACGATGGCAGGTGCTTTCCAAACCCATTTCCCACCTATCTGATGCGTGGCTGGGCAGACCTTTCCAGGGGCTTGTGCCGGACAGATGTTCGTTACTGACGCCGCACCGCGTCACGGTCTCACAGCAGAGAACTACGTCTCGTCTTGGCTCAGAGCAGAGTAGTGCGGCATCAGTATTATTGCCAATGACGGCAAACATATCCTGGAGTCACGATGAAGGTCAAACGATCCGTTTTAGACGATCATCAGCGGCTCGACGCCTTGGGAGTACATCAGCCACACGCTGCGTAGGGCTGTGAACGTGCTTCGGCCGTAAGACAGCTCAGCAGGTCTGCAGGCATGCCCGCTGGACGGGCTGGCGCTATACCAGTACCCACAGACCTGGGAGACGGGGCCAGCTCTGCCTGCGACCGCCAGACTCGTGTCCACTGACCAGCACCCCCGGGTGATCAGTGCCCAGCAGCAGGCGCGCTCCGTCTGCCAGTGTCCTGCCCCAGAAGTGGCTGTAGTTGGCGGCCGACCAGCCGAGCTGTGCCTCGTTGGTGCGCTCGATCAGCTCCGGCTCCACCAGGCAGACGTGCGTCTCGCAGCGCAGCTCCGGACTGCTGGCCGCACCCGTGCACGTGCTGAGGGCGTCCGACCCGGCGCGTTACCGGCGCACGGCTCCGGGCACGCGCGACGTGCGCGACTTCCAGCCCGCGCGACGTGCGCGACTCCCTGCTCGCGCGCCTCGTCTCGAGCGCCGCGCTGCCTCGCGCCGCCAGCATAGCGACGCGCGCCCGAAGCGGTACAGCCAGCGGAGCTCGTGCCAGGAAGCCGCGCAACGAACCGGCGCTGCGGGACCGATCCAGCGCTGGGCTGGCTAAAAGTCAACGCAACCGACCAGCGTTGACCTCAGGCAGGGAACATGTGCGACTTTAGAGGCAATCTCAATACTGTCGGTGATTTTTCAGTTGAAAAAACAACAATCATATGTCAAAGCATGTTACGCATTTACTATGAATTGTTCCTTATGCATGGCTTAGTGTTTGATTCGAGTCAATGGGCTACAAATCACATGATAAAAACGAAGATGCGTCGATGATTGAAACATGTCAAACACTTGAAAAAGGCCCCAAAGTCAAACAAAACCCTCTTTCTTACATTGGTCACCTTGGCCATTCATCATAGTGGCTTTTTCATAAGTTAAGATGTGGGGACAGCACAGCTCCAGAAGGTCATTAAGGCATGACGACATACCATATGTATGCATGTTTTCTCCCTAGCCTAGTTAAAACCATGCGATTATTTTAATGGGGTACATAACACTTCGTTTTACCTGTCCCGCACGTTTTGATCTCTACGAAGAATGCCAAAGGGCAGGCTTGTAAATAAGTTGCTATGTTGCACTGAAACACATTATCTGCACGACACTCCTCCGTCATGCTAAACGGCACCACCTCCGATTTTCTACAATGTGAAGGCAAGCAGAATAACCTTTTAGCTAATTTGTGTAGTAAAAGGAAGTCATGCATGTACTCACCATGTGTTGCAGTTATCCTTTACTGTTTCGTTATAACTAATATCTTGGCCCTGGTGCAGACAGGCTGAAAAAGACCGGGTCGAAGTGCTTTCGGCAATATAAACAAGCTGCATTCGGATAGATTGGTAGAACAGCCTATACGAGACAGAGACAAACGCAGATCTACTGGAAGAACAATGCCTGAATAAGGCAGAATCCTACTGACATGAAAGGAACGCGTCAGGCTGTGGGCCTGGCTGTGTAACACATGTCAGCTTCCTCCGTATTCGGTGGCGGCACTGCACTCCTGCACTACAGTCTGCACTGCACTCCTGCACTACAGTCTGCACTGCACTCCTGAGGGGCCAAGTCCGCTGGGACTGGCAGTATTTCGAGAGACTGCTCATCATCAACGGTGAGCTCACCGAGCCCGATCCACACCGATCTACGCACTGGCGTTGCTGATGTACGGGTTGGGTTCTCCGAGACAGAAGGTGAAGTAGTCCGGACAGCAGTCGCCGCTGAGCGAGCGGTCGCAGAACTGGTCACAGTAGCAGAGCGTGCCGAGAATGGGCACACTGCACTCGTCCTGCCTCTCCAGACAGCACTGCACTGCCCGTGCAGCACACAGCCAATCAGTGGTGCGTCTCTCGCACAGTTAACACGCCAACAGTGGTGTAGGGAATACTAAGTAAACACGCGATCACTGGTGCAAACTAAACGCCCTTCAGTAACCACGCAATCAGCGGTTCCACGCCCGCCCAGTAAGCCGATCACTGGATCATCTGTAGAGGATGAGCAGGTGCAGTGAAGGGTGCGTGCGTGTGCTCAATGCCCAGAGTACCGCAGATGCAGGGTCAGGGATATAGGTGCCGCTCGACTGCGTCTCGGCAAACAGGTGACGAGGGGTGACCCGTTAGAGCTTCACGAGATGGCACCACAGACAACATTGTACTGGCGACGCATCCGACGAGGCCGACTGCGGACATCACCGCACCATCAAATAAACGATCTTGTCAGTCATACAGCAGGAGCACCTTTCACGGGGAGCCCAAAACGAAAGGTGAGCGTTGCAAAAGAACATATAACCTCGTAGTCAACGGTACGCTTGTCCTCCGGACCGCATAACTTACCGTGCCTTAAGCTGGACCTATTTTCACAATACGGCCCCCATATGTCTGAGTAGTCGGGCCGGTCTTGTCCGCCACTGGCCTCAAGGGTCAGCACTAAGACCGTGGCTGCGAGCAGCATTCCGCCGGCGGCCGGGAACGGACGAGGCCTCGCCACGCGTCAGTGCTCTGCGGACGTAAAAGTCAGTCCAAAATTCATGAGTATGCTGCTTTACTGCACTCTCCTTCTCATTCACTTGATGAGACATTCGTAGGTGCAAAGGCTATGCCCGATCCGGCAAGACATACGGGTCATGAAGCGACCATGTGCAGCTTATGTTGATTTCTCGAAATAAATCCAAAAGGTATAAGCGCGGAATATGCACTACACGTTAAACAACTTTGGGTGATGTAAAATGTTATGTTACTAGCTGCTTGATGTGATTGGTGACGTTAACATACATGAACTAGTATATATCAAGGTAAATCACTGGAGAAATAAGCATATTTGAATCCTGCGATCAGGCTCACAATCTTCCAGCATGAAACGGGTAACGACGTGTTATTTGCCTTTTACGTTTCACTCCCTTCCATTTTCCTTTTCTACGAAGGTTTCAGTCCTAGTCAGTGAGTAACAATCTGGCGAAGGAACAGTTCCAGGGGAGGAAATGCAATACAACCCCTTGGTCTCAAGTCTGACTGTACATTGGTGCACGAGTGTCGAATTGCATTCTTTCGTGAGGGACCTGCCCCCTCCCCCAGTGTCGAGTTGGTCCCCCAAGGTTGGCTTGGGCCCCTAATGTTTTTGTCCGGAATATTATAAAAGCGTAGGAAAAAGCCGGCCATCACGCAAAAGCTATCGTCCATGATCCCGTCTCGTAGCGGTGTTACCATGGAAGGTGCAGTATGGTCAATGGAACCCGCAGTCTCAAAATCATTCCCTCAAATGGGGATAACTTTACGCATTGGAAAGAGCCATTTCATGTTTCATGTCTTGCGTGCCACAAACCTAACATTGTTTTACTGAAGGCTGAGACCTGAATTGCTCTGTTGCCATGTCTCATGAGAACAAATCGGGTAACATAATTTTTTTTGTCTTTGGCGGCACCGTTAATTCACGTTAAAGGACAAGCTCAGAAATAAAATGGACAACTGTACAGAAAACTAAAATTTTGCTGGAACCAACTTTTAATCTGACTTCGTGTTAAAGATAATATATTGCTAGAACTCCGAACCGACCATCCTATTATTGTAATGCACGTTCAAGGGGTCCATTTTGCCTGGGTCCCTTATCCAAATAGCACGCAGGGACCTTCACCGTATCATGCGACCGCACGACCGTCGGCTGCCCTGTAACTAGGCTGACACTGTCAAGCCAAAGGCCAATTGATCCTCTTTCACAACCCATAGATGACAGTTTGCTAGATCCTGCGACCAATAGGTTTTAGCGTTTTTAGCTGTAGTCTTTCGCCATGATGGAGGATTCAACAGTTCGAGACTAAATCAAACTCTCAGACTGCAAGGTAGAAGTTCTTCGCCATGAGTGGCAGATGATAGTATCATTTGATAGCGCATTATCTTACGTATGTAAGTCGAGCTTGCGTTGTGTGCTGAACATTGGCAACTTTGTTATGCTGGTGAAGAATTAGCCCTCATTAAATTAAACTGGCTAACAAAATGTAATACATTCATTTAACGGGAATTGACGCGCACGCTATGCGCGAAGCACCAATTCAATACCGAGCATGCATGTGGTGGTTTTATTAACAAGCGCCCGGCTGGATACCCTTCGTTCGAGGGGATTCATTTGACCCCCCCTGAGATCTCAAGATCTAAGAAAGTTAGAGACACCAAAGTTACAGGATATGTTGACCTGTACGTGAACTCATTTGGCTCAAAGTTTCGAGTTCCTATGTCATGACATTCGGGTCAAATAAGGTCAAGCAAGATCAAATTCCAGGTTGGTCTCCAAAGTACCCTCAGAACCTAGATTACCGTTTCTAAGAAAAAAGCCACATTTCCCTTGAGGCCGGCGACCTTTTTTGAACTTTTGAAGGTCATGGTGACTTAAAGTATACAAGATGGCTCTGAGTTTTGCACTTGAATAAGCGACAAAGATTATGCTAGGCAGTATGTTTTTAATAACAAATATGTTGACCTGGAGCATTTCAGGTCAATGACCTATCTCTAAGAAGTTCATGGAAGCTGTATGATGTGGTTCCTGTTATCAATAAATACGAAATGAGCACCAGAAACTAACCCATACAACAAACCCTAGATTAACAAAACAGGTTGTTTTGGCCTTGGTCTGACCTTCGTAACTAACCTTAGGTCAATACAATTTGTTCATTTAACTGTTCTGTTACCTAATAAAGCATCTCAGAGATGTATGGCTTTGTCTAGCACTCTATTGTTACATCAGATTGAACGATTCCCCAGAAACTGGTTTCGCTGAAACCATGGCCTGACTTTGACCTGTCATTGGTCAGCGACCTTGCGGAGTAGATCCAAATTTTTGATGCCAAACGATCGGCTATTCAATTGCTTATTGCTATACAAAATTTGGCGCCGCTACGCCGCGCCGTTCTGAAGCCATTCCGGAAACACCTTCGGGGGGGGGGGGGGGGGCGGTCAATTTGACCCCCATCCGAGAGCGCGTTAAGAGCATATGCATTTTCTACACCACGGTGACAATAAACTCAATCCCATCGCTATTTCTGCGACGCATTTTATGTATGTTATTGGGGAAGTGGACACAAATGGTGCAGATTATGTAATTTGGCCGCATGAACTAAGTCCTTCATAACTGACGCCGTCCCCATACCCACAACCAAAAAAATGTACCGCCGCCCATGGCCACCATAGAAGAGTGCCTTCGGCGCCCTTAGGCGGTCTCTAGAGGGGCATCCTTACTTTCCGATAAGAAGGGACACGTGCCTTCAATCTCCCCTCCGTATCCGCCCCTGCATACCTACCATGCTGCATAAGTTAACTAAATTTGTAATGAAATACGAACTGGAAATATAAATCGCATTTCTTCAACATGAAGTGAGTTTAATCCGATGAGAAGAAAGTGAGGGGGCGGGGGCGGTAGGCTATCGGTCCCTTGACTTGGTCCCTCCAATCAGTTACACGAACTGACACTCTTGCTGAAGTACTATTTCTAAGGGATTTCTTAAGCTTTCTTGCCGCAAACTCTTTGAGTGAGCGCAGCGACAGAAGTGGCCACGTTTGCGCTCAGGTACAGTGAATAAACCGGAATCTGAATCCGAACCCCCACGTGAGAACTGAGGACGCTCGTCACTCAGCCTTACGTCCACGTACTTTGCTGCTCAATCGAAAATAGGTCACAAGGGAAACTTGTGTTCTTCCCATTCGGCTGGAGAGTATTTCATGCAACGTTGTCAGGTTTGCCATAAAGGTCCATGAAGCATGCATGTTGAGCCGAAGGCCACCCGTGTGAACCCAAGATTCAATTTTAGTACCGGTCCGCGCCTGACCCTTTTTCGCAGAAGAATACGTCTAACTGTTCACGTCGGTAGACTGATGATCAGGGCACTTGCTCAGAAAATCCTGTGTGTGATGAATCCACCGAATCCAATCCGTCCGATGTCCTGCATCCGGCCGTTTGCCAGACATAACTACAGCTACTAACGGCCGCCAGCGGCTGTTAGTAGCTCTGTCCAAACGTCTCTTCACCCGATCGCAATTCGAAGATGCAATAAATGTTAAAGGGGTCCAGTACGTACTGGTGATGGCGGGACTCGTTTAAAGAAGGAGTTGGCAAGGCCCAGGAAAACTGCACTCAAATGGGCTTAGTAGTATTTTCAGGGTGTTCAGTTGAATACACAGAACTGGGTGTTTTGTGTATTGTTTTTGTGTGTTTATTTTGGGCCAAGGGTATTAATCAGCGAATGACTGGAGGGGCGAGCCGAGGGCTCGGCGACCTACCCTCCGGCACCAATTTTTTCTCAACGGATTTAGCCCAATTCATTTAAACAGCAGGCAATTTATGCCTTTATACGTGATCATTTTTCAAAATAGTTTTCATTTAAGTAGCATAGAACAATCAAGCGGGGGTGGATCCCGAGAACGGGGAGGAGACGGGAGCACTGAAGGCACGTGGCGCTTCTGATCGGAAAGTAAAGACCGCCTGGAGGCCGCCTAGAAGCTACCTTAGAGCGTCGAGCGCATTCTTCTTTGGCGGTCGTGGATGGTGGCGCGTTTTTTGGGTTGTGTGAGACGGGGACGGGGCTAGTCATGGAAGACTTAACCCGCATCCGGCGATGGGAACTTTAGTCCCTCTACGGTTATTCGGGCACAGTTAAAAAAACAAACGCCTTCAGCACCACCAAGTTTTAGCACCTATTCATCTATCAGTTTGGCGTCTTTATGCACATTTTAAGCTTTGATCTGCCAAAGTCAGCGGCCTAGATCAAGTCAAAGAGGTTAACTTCTAAATAATTTGATCACGCATAACTTTTTTATGCGTTAGTTGACAATTGCTTAAACTTGTCGTAGTAGTAGAACATGATAGTATCGACAGTTTGCATCTTTAGTATTTTTCAACAGGTGAGGTTAGAGACCTGAGATCAGGCAAATTTTTGCTATTTTTTGTAAGAACTGCAAATTTGTACATATTTTTATGTGGTTTTGGTGCTGGTATATGAGTATATAACTTGTATAGGAGTACTAACTCACGTGCACAACTATCATGTTACAACAGACGACATGACAATGGCCTAGATCATGACCTATCTCTGCGGGTGCCTTCTGCAGAACACACGCTGGGCCCAAAATAGACGGTTTTATTAGATGATTTTGAGCGCAGAATACTAATTTTCCACTGAAAACAGGTGATATCACTCTAATAAATACCG